AAACCCTCCTGTTCTCTCTTTCTCTTGTCTTCTTCCTCATCTTCTTCTTCCTTCTTCACTGGTTCGGATTACTGTAGCTGCTCCAAAACAAGTATTTTGAAAAGCATCTGCAGTTATTCCTTGAAGGAAAGGGAGCAATTCATCAAAGTTCATGCTCTCACACTCCACAACAGAATGGTATAGCAAAGAGAAAAAACAGACATGTTGTTGAGGTGGCAAGAGGCCTTCTCTTCCAGATGAATGTACCAACTCGATTCTAGGGATGCAGTTGAAGCAGTAGTGTATCTCATTAATAGACTTCCTTCATGATCCCTTTCTCTTCAATCACATTATCAACTTTTGTTTCCTAAGGATCCTATTTTCAGTTTGCCTCTCAGAGTCTTTGGTTGTAGCTGCTTTGTTCTTGACATGAGTCCTTCTCGCCTGAAACTTAACCCTAAATCTATCAAATGCATATTTTTGGACTACTCTCCAGTCCAAAAGGGGTACAAGTGCTTTGATCCCCATACTGGCCGAAGGTACATATCTAAGGATGTTACATTCCTTGAGTCTACTCCATATTCTCAGTCCACTCGTCCTTCTCTTCAAGGGGAGAGTCTTTGTGAAGATCAAACTCCTTTTTGTTTTCCTGTTCCTACCTCTATGGACATTCCTAGTTTGTCTTCCCCTTGTAGTAACAGTGTTCCTCCTCCTCCTCCTCCTCCTCCTGTTCCTCTCCAGCAATCCTGGAAATAGTGGTTTATAAGGCATAGAAGGAAGGATACTCCTGAGGCTGAATGTCCACAACAACCGAATCACCCAATTCTAGGTAACTCTAAAAGCAGCTCTGAACTTCCTTCTCCTACTATTATTGAGCCTGATGTCTCACAATCTGACCTTGACCTTCCCATTGCAGTTAGAAAAGGAAAAAGGAAATGCAGTGCTTACCCCATCACTAACTATGTTTCTTATGATGCTCTTTCACCCTCCTATCATGCCTATGTTACTGCTATCTCCTCTGTTTCTTTTCTTTGTAATGTTTTAGATGCAGTTCAGTCACCTCAGTGGAAGGGTGCTATGAACCAAGAGATAGAGGCTCTCTTAAAAAAACCATACTTGGGAGCTTGTTCCTCTTCCTGAAGCAAAGTTCCAGCGGGCTGCAACTAGGTGTATATCATTAAACATCGGGCTGATGGATCAATTGAAAGATACAAAGCTAGGTTGGTGGCAAAAGGATACACCCAGACATATGGGATAGACTATCAAAAGAACTTTGCTCCTGTAGCCAAAATGAACTCTATCCGAGTTATTATGTCTCTTGCTGTTCATTATTCATGGCCTCTATATCAAATGGATGTGAAGAATGCCTTCCTAAATGGAGATCTTCAAGAGGAGGTATACATGGATTTACCACCAGGGGTAATCTTACCCAACAGTGAGGGGAAGGTTTATCGTTTAAGAAAATCTCTTTATGGGCTTAAATAGTCCCCTAGAGCTTGGTTTGATAGATTCAGAAAGGCTATTCTCAAAATTGGGTTTACATAATCACAAGCAGACCATACTTTGTTTATACAAAAGGTTAATGGCCTACTCACCTTGTTGATAGTGTATGTGGATGATATTGTTGTTGTAGAGAAGATGGGCCGAATGGCCCATAGACAGTTAGTTCATGTTATGTTATGTT